CATCAGCACAGAAACAAAAAAGTTGCATTTTTTAGAGAGATATATTTTAAAAGAATTTTAGTCTGATAGTATCAGATGTTTGGGACAATATTAATATATTTATTTCAATTGGAAATATGTGCATTTTACAAATATTCAAAGAACATAGGACTTGATAGGTACAGGTAATAGTTAGGTATATTTAAAGATTAGTTGATAGTTAGATTAAATCATCGAAAGATGATCTATTTCTTGCTGTGTGCGCCAGTTCTTTTTGAAAGTTCGGCACATGCAAATGCTAATTGTCTGAGGCTTTTGACTGATGGCCAGTGGCTGACAGCCGGAGAAGTGCATTCGAGAGCTCGTCGAAGCCTTCTTCCCAACTGGCGCAACCGCATTTTTGCCAAACAAAAACTATTTGCAGCTATTTGCGGAGCTCGCAGCGCAGATGTAAACAAACGGGGATTATGCAATGGACCGCTTCGCAAACAGTCAGCAAATGGTGAGCAGCGATCACTGAGCCAGTAAGCCAGTGAGAGTGCGCGTGACTGTCTTGCCCCTCGAAAAGAAGCTGCGGAAGATGCCGCACAGCATTTCCAGTTTGGTTTTTCCTTTTTCTGCCATGTGATCAGTTGGCCAACGATTGGCCCCTGCAGCGCACTCAACGGCTGCACAGGGAGAAATGTATATCACTAAATTGGCTATAAATTTAGGCATTCTTATTAAATAAATCTAGGCAAAAAGCTTTAATAAAAAATATTTTAAAGAACCATCTTCTGTTAAAAAGGGTGCACTAGATTTGAAACTTAGAAAGACACCTATTTGATTTTTAAATAAATCTAAATATTTTTATACATGTAGAAGGCGACAAACATTATATATAAACTTCCGGGGTAAATATATCTAAAGTGGTAATTATATATTACATAGCAAACCATATCTTTACATATACATGGCTTTGCTTTTGCGTTTACCATTTTTATGGCCAATTTGGGTGTAATTTTTGTGTGTTTGGGGAGTGGAATCTGGGTAAGCGGGTTGGCGAGTCAGTTGGCAAAAATTTGGGAGACTTGGTGGGCCTGTGCTCATCATCATCATCATCATCGCCCAACCCCATAGGCGACTTTCACTCAGCCCGACGTCTAAGCCGATATTTCGGACCCAAGGGGGCAGCATCTTCAACTGTTGCACCTGCAACAACTGAATTGCCGTTGTATAATAATCTCTTGATTATGGCTAATAACATGTTGTAAACGGGCAATCCAGGGGCTGCCTGGCTTTATGGCATTCTATGCATACAATGAGGCGACTTTAACCTGCTACATGGCTCATGTAAATCAATGATGTGCGATTGAAAGATAGCGCTTTTCCAGATCTTCCTGCTGCACATCTCTTCAGTACTTTCACGTACTGCGACCCTGCAACCTGGGCGAGTAAATTGCCGACCCAATTGACTGTGAAGTTTTACAGTTTTCCACTTCCCATCTTCACACAATAGCCAGCCAGCCGGACGCAGTTTCCCTTTGGCTTTTCTCGCTTTCTCATGACTCGAGGAATAGCTAATGTCGGTCCCTTTGGCGATTTATTTATGTGCCGGCACACACAACTTCCTCCGCCAGCTAAATACCAGTTTGCCAGCACTGAAATCCCACACAGAAATCGAGAAAAAAGTCATTTAATAATCGGTTACCAATTGAAAGTATAAAAATTTGCCACTGTCAACGTCAGGCATCAACATCAATATCTGTCGGCCGGGCCAAAAGCGCGTTAATTGCGGTCCGCTCGCTAACTGGGCTAATACGTTAATTTTGCAATTTTCCAATAAAAATCTGAGGAATACACAGGCAAAAAGAATGAAGCTCTATGCTCATTTTTAATGTTTCAAACCATTAGACCAACTTGAATTACTACAGGAATTATTACTTTAAAAGTTTGTATTATTTCATTTGACTTATTTAAGTTTTCAAAACTTCATTGTATCATTATTTTTAATAACCATAAGCAGAATCGAAGTGTTAGTTTTTTTGAGTGTGGGCAATCAAAAAGTTGGCGGCAGGAAAGAGCCAAGTTAGGCGATATCCGCAGTTGCGTTAAGATGAAGCGATAATTACTCTTGACTGGCGACTAAATTCCTCTAAAAATTACTTTTATAGGTATGGTTTATCCTATGAAGAAATCGAGAAGGGATTGCCGACGATTGATACCTCAAAGACCCTGATCCGTGAGGTTTGTCCGCCCTTTTTCGCCGGAGTTGAGTGTCGTCCAGGAAAATACCGACGATTCGATGGTCTCTGCAACAATATAGAGCATCCCACTTGGGGAGCAGCTAATGCTCCATTCCAGCGCCTGATTGGTCCACTATATTCGGATGGGATTAATGCTCCTAGGATCTCGGTGACGGGTAGGGATTTGCCCTTCTCCCGAGTGGTATCTCGTACCATGCATCCTGATGATGGCTTCCATGATCATGCGGGCACCGTGATGGTCATCGCCTGGGGTCAGTTTATGGATCACGACTTTACACTCACGGGAACGCCACTGGGTAAGTTGAAAATATATATAGTTTACGGAAAAGGGAGTTTCTCTGAAACAAAAAATATTGTATTATTAAAATTGTAGCTCAATTTGAGGATTTTTTAAATTAAATTGTAATCCCATTCGTTTGCAGATCCCATTAACCGCAATGACCCCGAGGAGTGCTGCAAGCGACCTATGCATCTGAAACACCCGTACTGCAATGAGATCCGCATTCCCGATGATGATTACTTTTACCGACTGTTTAATGTCAAGTGCATTGATTTCGTGCGCGGTTTCCCTTCACCTCGACCAGGTTGCAAATTAGGTGGGTTTAAATATGGTTTTCCATTATGAAGATACAATCCATTATATGTTTGTGTTTCTCTTATTTCTTAGGATCCCGTCAGCAGTTCAACACCTTGACAGGTGTGATTGATGCCAATACCGTTTATGGAGTGAAGGAGGCCTTTGCCCGAAAGCTAAGAACTGGCTACGGAGGACTGATGCGTATGAATCCTGTGTTCCAGGAGTACGGCCTGAAGGATCTGCTGCCCCTGAAGTTGGATATACCCGATGAGGGTTGCACGCGACCCAACAAGAGCATGTACTGTTTCGAGGGCGGTGAGATCCGAGTCAATGAGCAACTGGTGCTCACCTGTATGCACACCTTGATGGCCCGGGAACACAATCGATTGGCCACCGGTTTGTCACAGATCAATAAACACTGGGATGATGAGACCCTGTTCCAGGAGTCCAGAAGGATCAATATCGCTATAGTTCAACATGTCACCTTTAACGAATTTTTGCCCATCTTACTGGGCAAGGAAGTGATGGAGAAGTTCGGTTTGGTTCTCCAGAAGGACGGCTACTGGGATGGTTACGATCCTACAGTTAATCCTGGTATTATCGACTCCTTTGCCGGAGCTGCCTTCCGTTTTGGCCATTCCTTGCTGCCAACTGCCGTGGAACGCTGGTCCAAGGCCCATAAGTTTATTGCCTCGAAACGTCTATCGGATTTGATCAGGAGACCTTACGATCTGTACCGCGCTGGAGTCTTGGATGAGTACTTCATGGGCCTGATGAACCAGGTGGCCCAGGCTATGGATGATTCGATTACCCAGGAGGTCACCAACCATCTGTTCAAGAAGGAGGGCGCCCGGTTCGGAATGGATCTTGTGTCCTTTAATATGCAGCGCGGTAGGGAGTTTGGAATTCCCGGTTACATGGAGTTCCGGAAGTTCTGCGGTCTGCCCACCTCGAACACTTGGGATGAGATGTACGGATCTATGCCCAATGAGACGGTTCTGCGATACGGAAGCATTTTTGAGTAGGTTCTTAAGTTGTTTCTATTAATTTTTTTTACTAATAATATAATACTTTGTAGACACCCTGCTGATATTGATCTTTGGTCTGGCGGCGTATCTGAGAAATCACTGCCCGGATCGATGTTGGGACCGACTTTTGCCTGCGTTATCGCCACCCAAATGAGTTATCTACGTCGTGGAGATCGTTTTTGGTATGAGCTGCCCAATCAGCCCTCATCATTCACTCCCGAGCAACTGCAAGAGATTCGCAAGGCAAAGCTGTCCCGTTTGATCTGCGACAACACCGACTTGATTGATACAGTACAGATTTATCCCATGGTCTTGCCGGATCATGAAATGTAAGTATTATAAATACTACATTATTATTATTACATTGGAAAGAGATATATTTATAACTAAATATTAATAATAATTTTAGCAACCCACGAGTGCCCTGCAAGAGTGGTATTATACCCTCAATTGATCTGACTAAATGGGCGGACTTTGGCGGTCATGGCGTAGATCCCTCTCTCTATGTGAGTTGACCATCTTAATTTTTACATAGAAAACACCTTATTATTTTCTACTTTCATATTATTTTGCAGAACTACATCAATGAAATACCCGACACGCTGCTCAACTTTAGGAAGTAAATGCCATTTGCGTTCTCTACGTTTTGTTTAACAATCTCGATTCATTTTTTGGACTCCATATCTGTATCTTCAGTCTTCTATAGTTCTACATCTCTCCTCTTCTCACTGCTTAGTCTCCTAACTAGTCTTCGATCACCATCTGCATTTCTATAGCCAGTCAGTAGTTTTGACACTGCCATTCTTCTTCAGAGCTCTTTCCAGCATTTCCATGCATGAACCACACATTCTCTGTATATATTATTATTAAATAGCAGAAATAGAGCGTTTAAGTTAAAGCATATTGAAGCAATCAGAAACAACGATAAAGAAAACATAAATAATTTTAAAAATATATCTCGATGTAAGTTTTTGTATATGCAAGTATTTTTTAAATAAAATTGAAAAACTAAATTGGTTACGATTTTATGAAATTATGAAACTTAAGTATATATGAATACAATTTACGGTTCTCTAAGAGCGGAATAAAACGGTAAGTTTAGAATAGTTATATGGATATTCTAAGCTAAGCCCCTAGTTATTTCCATTAGTAAGAAAATTTGGACAAATTTCTTTAAATTATTTGTTTATTCACTACACAATTACAAGTTAATAGGAACTCTTTGGTTTCGCGCTGGGAAGTCAGTTGTTTAGCAAAAGTAATTTCATCATCGTTGTGGTCGACATCAGCAGCCAAGATCGCCAAGACTTGAGCATCGTGTTGAGCATCGCATTGACCCAAATCCACACCTGAGTCACAGGCCATAAAAGCACACATCGCCACACACACCGCACACCGCACAAGAGGCGCTTCTTCATCGCTCTACTCGAGAGCATTTAGAAACGGCGCTATAGAGGCTATATCCTCGCAGTCCGGGATGGCTTTGCCCTTGAACTTGAGGCAGGATAGGGCACAGGTCTGCCCCTGAAAGTAATCCCCCAGCATGGTTTTGCACTGGACGCAGTTATTCAGGCACACCTGTTTGAAAAAGACAAGTAAAATGGTAAGTGATGAGGTAAGTAAAAAGGATTGATGATCTTTCAGATAATTCATCTTATAATTTTGCATATCCTTACAATTGCTGTGACTTTGAAAATACAAGGCATAGTAATTATAGCATTTTTGATAAAGTATATTTATATATTTTTTAAGTAAATAAATAAATCAAAATCATAAGGATATTTCATTATAATGACTTGTACATAAAGATTTAAATAAATTATCGTTGTATAAAAATACCCACCTGAATGAAATCAATGCCGCCCATGGAATCTGCAAGAAATTTTAAAACAAAAACTGTAATTACTACAGGTGTCTTAAGAACAAGTGTAATTTTATAAAACTTACCAAATCTCTTATGCGTATAATGATTTATGGCGGGCATTGCATTTCCGAAATGCACCAGACACACTGCAACCGTGACAAAGGTGCACAAAATCAAGGGCTTGCAGTTCATGTTTGTTTTCGGTATTGGGGTTCCAATCGATTTGTTTGGAGCGCTGACTGGCTTGCGACCGTTGTCTGTCTAGAGCGGATTGGAAATAATTATTATCGCTCGTTTGTCTTCTTATTTTATATACATATGCTCTCGGCCCAAACGCAGATGCGAAAGCTTAACAGAGTAAAGAAGCCAGAGACGGCAGAAAAATATAATAAAAAAACAACGATTGAAGCCGGTCTCAGATGCCAGGCAAATCGACCGACCGGCCAGCCCCAGTGGCGCTAAAATACGTCAGATCTTTGAGCCAATCGAAATCAATACAAACTCAATCAGATATCCATTAAAGTTGCTAAGCGTATGCAAATTCGCGTGCGATACGCAAAAATTCAAAGTGTTTCTCCTCAGAAAAGAGTTTGTTCAAATTTGCATAATTATTTGAACAGATTTTATGACACATTTAAATTGGTTATGAATGGATGAGCAGCAGGTATTTACAAATGGTATTTATGGAATGCCAAAGCAGATGCTTCACACGAAAAAAAAATCCCCTTTATAATTTTTAATTTAAAATCATTAAATCCATATGATATTCTAATGAAGTACGATAAATATCCTAACAATAATCGAATCATTTTTCACCATGTAACGTTTAACAAAATGTTCTGTTAATCCATAATCCATTATGGCGAATTCCCTAAACGCATGACTAGAAAAATTTCCCCGATTTTCAAGAGCACATTAAAAAATTCACCGAACTTGGGAAAGAAAGTAGCTAAAGCAAAAGCTCTTTTCGAAAAACTGCTATAGTAGCAGGAAGTGTCAAGCGAACGGACACAGCCGAACCGAACTGAGATCGTAATGAATGCAAATCGTATGCGACTGGCGAGCCCATTAATTAATGGCGCTGTAAATGCAGTAAAAATATGGTTAAAATGTAAAGCGTAGAACGGATCCAAGACCAGATGCCGCCACAACAATAAGTTACGCCCCAGTAAAGTATAAATAAAATAAGAATTCTTTTGTCCTGCCTCCAACCGGACACGCCGCCAACTGGTTTCGATAACAATTTATTCCAAGCCAATCTCACAAAACAAAATATGGAAAGTGAAATAAACAAAAATAAAACACACTATATCGTGGGAAATTTTTTAGTTATGTTAATTTTATGCGACACAAATTGTATGTTTCCTAACTAATTGGCAACACGCGCCGGCGTATGAGTAATGAATAAAAACCCATGCGGCGTATACGTCACAAAAGTTTATTTTGTGGGCGTGATACTTTTGAGACAGGCTTAAGATTTTCGGTTCCCAGTGACGTAGGAACGGTACTCGAAACTTACCGGTAGTTGATTGTTTGGCAGCAGAGACGTGGGCGTTGAGATAGATGACAAAGTACTTTGACAACACGTTTGTTTGCTGAAAACTGGTTCTAGATTGCAGAGTTCTTGTTGTATTTATACGTTGGATCTCGTACGATTGTTTGATTTGCACGAGCAAATTAATCAATTTATCTCGCCAGCAAATCCACCTAATTGAATATGTGCAAAATGGCAAAATGTCACTTCCGCTGGCTAGTTCGAAGCTTTCTTGAGTGTTTTTCACAGCGGTGTTCTGAGTACTAAGTAACATCCAGTTACTTAGCCAGTTTAATTGCGTTTCTTTGGGCTCTGGTTTCGGGTTGGTTAGCCAGTTGCAAGCCGAGCAGGAAATGATATTATACTATCGAAAGGAGTTGTTATTCCTTGAGTTCGATGTTTAGTTGGGCCAGATTTCTTCTTCCGCGGCAAGTTATTGTGAATTAATAAAAAGGTTTTTATTTATTGCTTAAACAATAAATCAATCTCTGAAACCCACATTTATTGGTTTAGTATAACGAGTAAGACCTTGAAAGCGGCAGGATTGTCACTTGTCACTAATATCTTATGGTAAACATGGCAATAACAATTAAAATTGGTAATTACTTAACTAATTTTTAAGAAACAACTAATATGAATAATACAGACTGTTAATTATGAAAGAACGTTGTTCAAGGATTATATGCTTGAAAGGACACTAAAGTAAACTATTACAACTTATATTAACATTTAATTAACGGTCTTATTAAATTATCTATTATAATACAAGAGTTTTAAATTATGAATAAAAGTTGTTAAAGGGATATTTTTATACACCTATGATTGAAAGGATAAATATAATCAACTAAAACCTTTTTATCAAAGAACAACTGTTTTATTACATAATTTAATTTTCTTAAATTAGTTAAGTCTATCGAAATAGTTTTTAATCCATTATTAATTATCAGGCTCAAAAATGCAATATTTTTTAATCAAGGCGCCAAGTGTTCTTGCTCTTCATATATATTTTTGACGTTATTTTAAAGCAGTGCAGACTAAAGTAAAGCAGTACATAACTTTTTCCGCTAGATGTCGCTCAAGATATTGTCGTAGAAAAACCGTGTAAAAACTCGTGTATAATTAGTAAGCTCTGTAAACCAACAATAGGTGTCGACTGATATCTTATGTTTATATCAATGTTTTGAAAGATGGAAAAGGATAATCAATATTCCAGCCTCTAGTCATTTCAAGGTTTCTTCTATAAATGGTTTTAGTCTCTAGCAATCTCTCTCCTGCGAGGGCGACCTTTGTAATTTGTTTAAAGGAATTTTAGATATTAATAGTTTGGTATATTTCGTTATATACCCAAACTAGAATAAAATATTTGAATCACATTATTAAAAATTAGAAAGATAAATATAATCAAAGCTCTCAAAGGATTCTAACATACACATAAACTTTATATTTATTGTGACTATTTCAAGAGCTCTCGAAACACTCTCCCCAAGACTAGAATTTTATGGTGCAGTATTAAAATAGTTTGCTCCAGGAGAACCTGACCAAAATGATGTTTATTGGTCCATTTATTGACTCCCTAGGAGGCAATCAATTTCTGTTCAATATAAATCTCATTATTAAAGTGCTGGGCGGATTAAGTTCTCCTTTTTGTACAGTGCCCCCACTGGACGTGCGTTGAAATTGCTGAAAAGCCACAACAGCAAACATTTCAACCGATGACCGGGAGGCGAAAGTGTGTTGGTGGGCGTGGCACACTATCGTACGCGCCGTCGAACAGCGAAAACTTTTATTAGTTGCAGCGTGTTCCCTTCCCGGCTTTTCCATCTTCCTCCAGAAGTCCATAGCGAGTAAATCAGTAAACGATTTTCTTTATAGTGCTGAATTTTCGAAGCAATTTCTTCTCACTTTTTTTTTGTTTTTTTTTTTCGGCAACGGCAAGAAACTTTTATTTTAAACCAAGCCAAAAGCCGAGATTTTCGGACGCTTTATTTATGAACTCTGCCCGAAGAGTCGATGCGCCTCACATATCCCTTTCATACATTGCAATCGCATCCTTTGTGCCCGGGTAGATATTTCAGGCACGTAAGCATTAAATTTTTTAGCCACACAATATGCTCATTGTGCCACTGATTTTAGCTTCAAGATATACGACTATATATGTATCTCGCCCAGCTTCTGCCGGTCATGACAAAAGAGCAATGAAGCCTATTTTGTAGCTGCAAAGTTTGCCAGGTTGAACGGAAAACTTTATTTAAATATATACCTACCTACAGTAGGGGTGAAAATGATAGCATTAAAAGTTGTTGTTTCTCTAACTATTAAATAAATAGGTTTAATAAAATGTAATCATGTTTGCCTATTTCCATTTTGAAGGGAATACATTTTACTCTTTATTTTAGTATTTATTTAAAGGATATATTTTTATCGTCTATATTGAAGATATAATATTTTTAAGGGGGCTGTATACATCGTTACGCTTTCAATCTGTTCAGTTATCAAACCCGCATGAAAAGGACACCAGCTCTTAATAAAGTTTCACTTGTTAATAATAAACTTTAAAGTATTTTTAGCTATGTCCCCGAAAATAAAGGCCAGCGAGGAGTGTAATTAGTGTAGTAAGCCTTTCCTCACGGCTCGCTGCACTTGGGGGGTAAACTAAAGAACTAAAGGCCTCTCCGCCTGACATCGTGTCGTATGCGTAATGGAGCTTGGTGGGTTCCCCAAGATCCCTTGGTTCTCCAATCCCCTGCTTTTCGCCACCGGCATGTGAAAAACGTGTTAATCCACGAACTAATTTGATGTTAATGTGGGGGCCTGGTGGGTCGACAGGTCGGGGGATTGGGGTCGCCGGGCTACCCAGCTGACTTAATTGTTTTTCAGCTCACTTTACACTCCACCGTCGTTTTTGTGGGGCTTTAAGAGCCAAGTCCAAGTGGCCGGGCCATTAGAGCGTAAACAAATTATTGCTGTACAGAGAGAATATTAAACTTATGTTAGATTCATAGTTTGTTTCGTTGATACTGTCAATTTCAGAGACTCTTATTTTATTTTAACAGAGGTAGGGTAAGTAAAATGGTCACTACATTCTTTCTTTGAAAAATATTATTAATATAAAATAAAGAAAATGGAAATATTGATAATACTCAAATGCATAAGGATATTTTTAAGAACATCTGTAGGCTTATTTTTAGTAAATCTAACATTTATATTATTATTAGAATTTTTGATACATCTAAAAAATAAAAATATTAAAGAAACTCAGAAAATATATATTATAATTTTGGAGATACTTTTTTTTTCTCCGTGTATTGCTAAGACAACAACCTGGGCAGCATTAAGCGAGCTGCGAATTAGTTGCGTCTTAAGGTCCTTCTTTTCTGCATATTCAGCAGGTTTCGAATGGCGTCGGGATTACGGAGTGACTCCCGCGTCCACAGTTCCTTCTTTTTCTGGATGGGAAGGCGACCGCCCGTCGCGCTCGATGTGCTCAAAATGAAATCAGTGAAATGGTGGAAATTAAAAAATAACGAGATAATTAAAAGCTACCCCCGCAGTTATTTGCGTGTGTGTCTCTTGGCTCACGTAGCGCTGCTTAAGTGGCGGCATTCAGGCTGGAACCTTGGTGGGTGGACGGGTGGTTCGGTGGTTTGTCCTTGCAATTGTGGGTGGCTGGATGGGTGGGTGAGTGGTCATGGGAATCCCCCAACCACACACACACACACACACGACCAGGGACAGAATGAGCCGTTTTAATCCTGCCATTTACTTTGTGCCACAATGCTCGTTCATGTTTAATGTCCTTTCATTTCGCATTTGACTCGAAGCTGCTTTTGTTTTTTTGATTTCCTGTTGTTTTCGTTTGTTTCTGTTGTGAATTGTTTGGCTTGCCTGCTATTGAGCCGATGCTGTGCCAAAGAGTCCTGGTTTTGCTGGTATTTGATAATTGCTTTTTGAGGTTTCTGTCAAGATGGCTGGCAGCTCTCCTGGAAAAACAAACTAATCAGGTACGAGATAAGATTTTTAATTAATATTATCCGAAATAGTGTGAGAAAATATTTGTGGCTTTTAGCTAATTTCCAATTTTGTTTGATATATGGCACTGTTTGCATTAGTATCTACACATACGAATTAGTACAGACTTTGGCTATTAGAAATTCAAGGAACTGATTAATGATAGCAAATGTACATTAATTACTGGAATTAGTGCTAATGAAGGGCCCTACAACATCATACCTCCATAAAAAAACACAGAAAAAATTATAGCCGATGTTAAAATTACTCTTGAAAAATAGGTAAAAGATATTTATAGAAGTTTGTATGTATTATCCGTTCATTGCAAACATTATTAATTAATATATAACTTTCTATTAATAAACATAGTTATTTAAAAGTAGAAGATTAGTTCATATTGCCCTAGAAAGGGTAAAACAAAAGTAAACTAATGAACAATAATGAGCATTTATTTGAAATAAAATACAATAATAACGTGTAATATCGTTTTACAGTCAACTCCATTGGGGGTGTGTTTTCAGGAAAGGGAAAAGAAGTGTCTGGTAATTTACAACAAATATTCATTACGCTAAATGTGCATAATTTATATTGATGTGAATTTAAACGCTTTAATTATTAGGACTTTTTGTTTTGAGTTTCAGCCAAATACTTTGCATAAAAAACATTTTCACGACTAAACCGATGGAAATAATGTGAAAATAATTCAACTCCATTTATGGTGATGCCCATCGACTGCCGTTCAAAGGCTGTTAATGAATTTTCAAATTTAAATCAGCTTGCATTTCAATAGAACTCAAATAGCCTGCGGGCGAACAAAGAATAACCCTTTACAGCCATTAAATCACAAAGTTGTGGCATTATTAAATGCAATGGTTTTTAAAGTTTTTGCGCTTACATTGTTCTACCATTTTTTTTGTGTACATGAATGGAGTGTAAACTGTTTAAATAGACCATTTCACCGCTGCTGATGAAGTGAAGTATCCATGTCACTTGATTACGCTGCGGTGTAATTAGTCAGTTTGGCCGCCAAAAAATGTCCCTGACTGGAAATGGGACCAAACGTTTGTTAATTAGCAAACGCAAATACACACGTGAGTTTGCCGGGATGTGTGACATAAATCGAACTGACGGATGGCTCAACTGGGCCATGAAAAGTGGGCTGACAACGAGGTGGGCGTGGCCGGTTGGGGGTGGGGGTTAACCCCCTGACATGCACATGGCCAAAATGCACAGCTCGACAGAATGTCAGCCAGCCGAGCTTCCTTTTCCCCCCTTTTGTCTAGGTGCGGAAATGTGTCGAACTCTGCCATGTTGCGATACGACAAAATTGGGTCGCATTTCAAAAAATTTTCGACTCATGCTGGCCAGTGAGATGCGGGGGCCACAGTGCTGGCGAAAATATCGGAAAAGTCTGTAAAAGCAAGGGTAAAAATACAAAAAAGTAAGAGTTGATAATCAAAGTTTCATTTTAATTAGTTAGACAGAACTTAATTTCCTATAAAGAGTGACATGCGAAGCTGCTTAAATATTTGCCTTCATATAGACCTTGGATTTTGTAACTTAAAACATTAGACTTCCTTTATTGAATTGAATTTTAGTTTAAAAAAAATTAGGGCTAAGACCCCAATAAGTAACCACTTGCTACTTACTTAAGTATATTTTTAAATAATATTTTGTGTGATAAAAAGTTTGAAAAGATAACATATTTCATTATAATTAATAAACATAAATCCTAATTCAAGGTTTTGAAGAAAGTAACTATATTTTTTGTAATAAAAACCACTTTCAAACTTTTGTGAATCGAAAAAGTGCCCAAAATGTCAACACAAACATGGAAGACGGGAAAGTGCGCAGCTTGCAAATTTCTCGATGAATCTGTATGCCAGTGTGTGCGTCTGGTTATGTGATTGTATCTGTGTGACTTTGCGTTGACATTTCAACTTTGCCCCGACCAGGCTAATGCAATGAAAACTTCCAGCTTGCCTTAGTTTCTGGTCCTTTTTTCGATGCTCGCTGGACTGTTTTCTGGTGCCTTAAAGTCGGTAGATGCCAGATGAAGCCAAAAATTGCAATTAGACGTACACAGTTTCATAATCGGAGTTCGACAAACTGCAGTCCGGTAAACCGACCAACTGGACTGGCTATAAATGTCCAGCCGCTGGCCATTCGCAATCAGAATTTTTGCTGACTTCAAAGAGATGATGTCGCAAAATAAAAGCCTTGCATAGCTCAAGGCGAAGCAAGTTATCCTTCAAAGAACCACGATGGACACTCTTGCGAATGCCTCAAAATATTTCATTTGATTTTATTGGTAAAGAAAAAATATGTATAATACCTTTCTCTACTTTAAGCAATCTTAAAAATATAGAAAGTTAATTCGGACATTTTAAAAGCTAATGATGGCATCAATAAGATCGCAAAAAAAGTTCAGTACATTAAAAAAACAAAACTTTTTTTAAATGGTTTCTTAGTTAAATATTTTGTTAATACCATTGGTATTACAAACATTTTTACTGTTTTTTGTTTAATATTTTAGTGTTAAACACACATAATACCAAATATTTCATTTTAGCAATTCACCCTACTGTGTAGCATCAGTAAATCGTTGTTAAAGTCTTCTGATAAAGTCCCCTTTAAGAGCTGCTACCCGTTGGTTTATTGAATCTGGGGGAGCTTGAAGTTTCTTGATGCCCAAAAATAGCCCAGCCTTGAGTTGCGCTCGCATTGTAAAAGTTTGCTCCTTTTTTCGGGGGCGCTCTGCCATTTTTATTTGAGTTTTCACTTACCTGGCGCTTAAGTGTTTCTGCTACCAGGCCATTTGCCATTTGTTTCGTCGATGTGAAAAGTTTTTGCGAGCGACTTGTGTGCGGGCTACTTTTATGATTATTGCCAGCCTGCCAGCTCAACCTTGGCGAGAAAGTATCTTCTGGGCAAAGTATCTTCTATCTGGGCGCAGTGTGCCTATGGCATACTTAAGCCTTAATGTTAATTTTAAGCAGTTTGCCCATAAGCTTTTGATTTAAGGCAGCCACAAGGCCGGTCAGGATGGGATCCCTTTTATTTTGCGTTAGGGCTACGGACTTCTTGGCGTGCTGCCATGCCGCAAAGTACACACCAGACATGGACGTGGACATGGCAAAACATTGCAGCTCCAATTGCAATTGCAATTGCCACCCCCAATCCCCAATCCCCGATCCCCGATCCCAATCCCTATACCTAACCATAACCACCAGCCCATGTGCAGCTGTTGCCCGTGTGGAAGTGCACTTCACTTTGTCTAATTGTAAAATAAATAAATGAGATAAAAACGCAAAGTGGCAGGGGCGTGTAAAAAATGCAAAGGGAAATGAAAAATTGCGCTCGAGTTGTGTTCTCCCCAAGAAAAGCGATACACCGGGAAAAAAAACATAGACTTATGAGCCACATAATATGATTGGAGATTTGGCATTTAAATATTTATTCACTAAATATTTTAAATAATTTATTTTAATGATTTAAGCTAATTTTATATATATGATGTGTCCCAAATATTTTAGAAAAAGAAAATATAAATATCTTGGTTGCAAGAACGGAATAAAATTGATAGAAAAAGCTACCTTAAATTAAACTAGATATCAAGTTTTTTTGTTGAAGTATTTTTAATAATTCGATTTTTATTTCCAAAAATAAAAACCTTTGTTAAAATAAAGGCTATCCTGTTTTTATACCAAAACTATAAAAAAAATTTTTAGATTAAAGGATGAGTAAATTATTGGTTTGCATTTTGAAAATTGTAATAGTACCTTTTCTGGGCAGATTTTTTATTCCAAAATTCATGCATTCTCTTCTCTGAAAATTACACTTAAATTCAACTTAAGGACACCTTTGAAAAAGTGAAAGCCCTGAAATTTTTTGCTTCTCGTGTACTCTACTGCCACTGCTGCTTAGACTCATGAGTCCTGGTAAGCAGGGATCCGTGGGGAGGGCTGTCGAAAATAATAAATCAAAGTGACACATTGAGAATGCAAAGGCCCGGGCCCAGACCCTCACTTTCCACTCCTACTATCCTTTTTTTCTTATTTTTTTCCCTTGCCCCACCTGGCCAAAAGACAAAGCGAGTGGAGCTTTCAATTTCAACGCTCCAGAACGCCAAGACTGACGTTTGACAGACACAAGACGCTGCAGCAACAAAGAGTGCACCTTTGGAAGAAAAAATACAAAAATAAGGACTACAAAAAATTGAAAATAAAAGTATCTGGAGCGGGTGCAGACACTTTACTTTGCGGGGAAGGCTGGCATCAACATCAACCCTTCCGTCATTGTCAGACGAAGGCGGGCGGAGTTCTTCAAGTACTTTGCGGATAGAATAGCTTGCTGTCGCAATTTAGATAAATTTTAATTTTAATAAAGTGTTTGCCTTGCTCTTCTCGGCCACTCGAGCGGATACTCTCGGCATTATGAATTAATTATCGCAACAGTCGTTCCCCGGCTTTGCTTGTGGTATTTTGCATTTTCGCCGGGCGGCCAGACGGGGCGGTTTTGGAGGTATATCATAGAAGAGCCCATCCACTTGGCGGATGGTCTTGCAGGCCATGGCCTCCTCGAGGGCCTCCGTGATAACCTTATGGCAGACCTCGCCCGGAAATCCCGTTTTCCGCGTCACAAAGGTGGCCAAATTTTGAAGGGATGTGCCTGTATTTGCATCCCGCAATCCAGCCAGGATGAGCTCTTGGGGCGAGTTTATCGTACGATCGTAGTATATCAGAGGCATGGGGATATGATTGAAAAAAGTAAAATTTATGCTCTCAACAGAATGAATTTTGTAACAGTTTAGATGCTGTCAGCACACTGTGAGAAATATCTATCACTAACTAACTATAACTTTAACTACACAAACGTTTTGTAATAAAACAAAGTAAATTAAAAACAAAAATTGAATTTTTTTTTATTTTAATAATTTTATTTAAAAAAAACTATTTGTGTACAAATTAAAAAAAATATAAAATATCGTATTTTTTTAGAAAACCTCGTTTTTTCTTCTTCTTGACTTCATGGTATGAGTATGTTATGTAAATAATACAACTGAAATAAAATATTATGTCACAACTAAGGCTCAAAAATAATTGATTCTTTTGGACTTGTTAAAGTTTTCAAATGTTTAGCAAATGATTTCCTAAAATTGACTTCTTATTCAGGATTTATTGGTTTTTCTCCAGTGACTAAAGCCATCATCTCGTCTTGCCGTTGGCCTTCGTAAGGGATTCCAAATCACAAGCTTGCCACATGAAGCGTTAAGTTGCTAACGCGATGCTTTTTTGGCCCCAAAAGCGACGGCTCTTAACCCCTTAACGCCCCCCAAAAACTCCCACTATTTTTCCATACATGCCTTTGCACCCAGACGTTGGCTGTCAAATTACCGCCGCATTTTATGCGCCCCGTGGCGCACTGACTTTACTTTTTTCAACTATCTCCACTTTTTTTTGTTTGGCTCCTGTTAAATTGAAATTAAAGCAGGCGGCTATAGTTTGGCTTAACTGGCTACAAGCTGGGCGATTTACAGACTCAATAATACATTGGTGGCGAGTGCCAAAAAGTTCAAAAGGCGGCCAAAACTTTTGCATTTCTTTCTCTCCAACCCACGGCGAACAATTTGAATGAAGCGCGCAAATTGAATAAAAGGCCATTGCCACAGTTCAAGCTGAAAAAGTGCTGGCTGTGATAAAATCATCAGTTTCCACCCAGAAACTCCCCGTCTTGCTTTTTTCACTCTGCTCCCAAGTTTTTTACGGTCCAGTCTACGTGGAATGAGCCGGATTGGGTATGCTGGTAATAAATTTTTATTGCACGAACGAATTCAATAAAGTGAGCCAAGACGAGGAGCAAGAATAGGGCTAGAGATGAAATCGCAAGAGCTTTTGTACTTCTTAATTAAATAATTTCGCTCTTGTAAGAAGATATTTATTCTTCACTAGAGGTGAAAAAAGCTGCTAATAAAGAATGTAATTAATAGCATCTCTTTAATAGCAAATTCTCATAAGAATTCATTTTAAAAACGGATAAAGATACGTACTTAATAAGCAATAAGCAATTTTTTAAGTAACGAAAATATATACTTGTTAAAACGTATCTCATAATTCACCTCATTCACAAAAACAAATTCATATTCTAATGGAAATGTCTACTTTACTTAATTTCTTTGTAATTTATTGAAATGTCAGTAATTCAGATATATTTCGGCAATTGGCAAACCTCTAGTGAAAAAGACTAATAGAATGTCAATAAATCAATTTAAAAATACAACTTTTGTATTTCGTTATTCACATTCGTTTTTATTAATTTATTCGCTGCATTAGTGAGAATTTTGGGCAGCTTAGAAAAGCGCTTTGTTGTTGATTACCGGCAATTATCCAATCAGCCACGTCTGAGTTCCATTTGCATAACCCGATCTCACCGTAGAATTCGGTATTCATATCGATATGCGGCCAGTATTAAATGCAATTTATGCAAATTCCTGCCTTCGTTGGCTCTAAGCTAAAAATGGGCGTGGCCACAGTGGGAATTACATTAAATCAAAATTGAATGCATTCGGAAAATTCAAAAAGGATGGGCGAATGTGTGTGTGTGTGAATTGAATTTAATTTTATGCATTTGCTGTATCAACGCATAAATTATGATAAAAGGCATAAAATATGCATGCTGGGGGTGGAGTGAGCCAGAGCGGAAGTCCGAGTAAATTATGCTGATGGCGGAGAACGGAAATGCGAGGAATGGAATAGAATGGAATACAAATACTATCTGGGGATGAAACCACCCCTGTCTCCACTCACAAATTTATGCCGGAATCATGTCAAAGATCAGCTCGACACAGATGCTCACTGAATTAGCCAGCGCAAATATTTATGACCATCCCAAAGGCAGCTACTACCACTTTACGTAAATGTTTGCCAGCCACCTGTTCGCAGTTGTCAGTTTTGGAATGCAGCAAAAAGGTGGAAAAAAGGTGCAGATTGTAGCAAAAAAGCAGCTAATCCGACTGAGCGCCAATTTGGGACACATGTAGACAGTTTGTGCAGTTGGCATTTGCCGGCTTTCCGCCGCTCCCCGTTTACCTTTGAAACTCATTTGGCGCAAAGCTGACAAGTCCCGGACGGATTGGATAGTCCGACGCCCGTCGTTCAATTAGCAGACGGTCACAGGGCATTCCCCTGGCCACCCGTCTGTCTTTTATTAATATGTCCTGGGCCTGCTGCCCTCTGTAGAAATAAAACCAGAGATAACCTAGGAAGTTACCCGACTAAGGGATACCTTGGGGTTCCTAATAAAGAAATAAAAAATCAGTTTAACCCCTTAAAATTAAGTGTCTTAATGGTCTTATTAAAAAAAAATAATATGTATTATATTTTTAAATATATAGTATAATATTTATAATAATCTTCTGCCTTCAATTTAAGCTTCTTTTGCGACTTTAACCCCTTTAAGAACCTATTACTAAATTCCTTTTATATACTACTACCTACTTAATTCATTCAGGACTTCAATCCACAAATACCTAGCACAAAAGGAAGACCGCTGTAAGAAACCAGAGAGTGAAGGCAGAACGACAAGCGAAATGCAAACTAATTGAAAACACTTCAAAGGACATCAATATCAAAAGCATAGACGCTGGCAGAGGCAAGAGTGGAGATAGTCAACCCGTCCTTCAGTCATCCGGCAAATGTCAACCGAACAAAGCGAAAAATTGTCTCCAGTCCGCAGAATGTACAAAAATGTAGAAAAAAAAGGGGACAGGACATTCTCAGGACGACCAGCAGGACTCGCCCTGACCAGACACAATCAAATCAGAGCTATGCCAAAATTAAAAATATTTCCACACAGCAGATCACTCATTCAAGCTACTTTCGAACCGTCTTGCCTGGGCCCTAAAATGTATTGTAAAATATATATAAAAGAGGGGTTAAAAAAATAGCACTGGACCTATAAATTGCAAAGTATTAGTTCAATTATTTATTTAAAATGATTTTATGTTAGTTTAGGACATCACCATTATTTATGAAAAATACAACTTGGTTACAGAAATGTTTTTCTCGTGTGATCCCAATATTTTCACCTGAGGTGCACTTATGAAATTCGGCAGTTGTGCAAACGAACTTGTGTAGTTCCATTTGGGTGGTGGCCAGGCACGACCCCTGGCAACAATAAGTGGATAAAATCCTTTTCATTTTCCCTCAGAGTGTCCGGCTTGCTACAAAATCAATTTACAACGGAAGCTTACTTACATAACCCCCCGAGACACATAATCCTGTTTATGGGAGTGTGTGCCCGGGTGTGTGTGCTTGTGTCTAGATGATTCCCGCCCATCCAATCGCCAGTGCATATTGGGGCTGTCTTTGGTTTGGTCCTGTCCCAGGACCAGTGTTTTCCTTTGGCATTTCACAGAATATCACAGGTAAAACTGGTGACTGTCCCTGCCCCTGGACAATGTCAGCACATCCTTTCGTTCAACTTTGCCGTTGCTGTGGCCGGAACTTTTGCATATCGGTCACATTGTCCTCGGGGGCGCACTCCCTACGAATCGTATATTTTCCCAGGATCCTACAGCATCCCTTTGTTCTGTGTGTATGCGTAAAGGCTTCGATTGCAGTTTATAATACGGTTATGCCTGCGAGCATTTATTTGCCTTAGTTAGATTTTGTTTGTTGTGAAAATTTCATAAATATTTACGTGCTGTCAGCTGCAGTTTCACTTATTGTTTATGCCCCTTTAATGCCTAACTGAATAAAAATCCCATTCGAGTGTGTGAGATGTGTATGCTGAAAGTACATTTCCCTGTGCATTAAGGCACTTAATTACGGCTCCCTGCTGGGACAACGATGCGTATGCGCAATATATTCGAACATTTCGTCGTGTGATTTGCATGATATCGAGGCCAAAAGGATTAATGAATATCGACAGATGTCCGAAGGGAATTATTTCCATTTCGACAAAAGCTGCTTAAGTGCATCTTCATTTTTATTTTGAAAATCAATTTGTATTACCACTGTGTACTAAAGCTGCAAATGAAAATGCTTAGGCTGGCATTCTCCATGGTGATTATTATTTTGCTTCGGTGGTGCCTACATTTTCGATGGTGATTATGAACAGCTTAGTAAAATTTGAAATTTATTTTAATACTTCTGTTAAAGGCCATTGCAAATATAATCCTCAAGCCGTATTTTATATCTGTCCTTAATATAATATTAAAAAAAGTATTCAGCTTTAGGCCTTGGCTGAAATGTCAGCGTAAAAGCATATTACAAATTCGGCACTCAAATATTAGAACTGGCCCCAGGATGAGTAAAATCAATGCATTAGTCAAGCCTCTTAAAAGCCAAAAAGGCTGCCAAACTTTTATGGCTTAACGAAACGAAACTTAAGTGCTGGCCAAAAAGGGAAAAATCAAATTTTTAAATCAAATGAGAGCTGGCAAAATGCATTTCCAATGCAAATAGCCCAACGAGCAACTTTGATTTGAGTTTCAATGTAAACCGAAGCTCATAAGTTGCCGGCAGTTGAATAGTTGAATATGCAGAATGATTATGTCTCCCTGCCTGCACTGAAGTAGATTAAAGACACCCAAAAGCCACTCAAAGTCAACTGGAGGGCCTTGGTGAGCTGGTGAGCTGGCTGGCTGGGTGAGTGAATAAAGTCGGATGGGCACTCGAAAAAGTTTTTTAAAGTTTGTGCGCAACAATGAGATCCTTGTGCTGCAGCTGCATCTGCAGCTCCTTTGCTGCTTTCGGTCCTTTTGGTCCTTTGCTCCTTTTCCTGCTGCTGCACCTTTTATCCTGATTTTGCAG